TGTAAATAATGTTGCACATTCACACGACATACACAGAAAGATCCTTTGACAAGTCGCGAGTCATGAAACAATCCCTTAAGAAGCACAATTGCCACCTTATAAAAATTGACGAACGCTGTATGAAAAGTGTCAATTAACACCGGTTACAGAAAATTACGCTCAAAATAAATAGGATCTGTATATGTATATATAACTTAATTTATATATAAATAATTTGTATGTATATTATTAATTTATATTATATATATGTATATTTATATATTATATATAGTACTCTCTTTATAAATAGCATATTGCATGCATCCTTTGCACTAATGTTTTCGTTCGACAATTGGAAAATCCAAAACTGAATGTCTAAAATTGCTAAGAGCTATATCACAATACGCAGCAATAAAAATGATGGAGCTACATTTAAATTTCACTCATTCCGAATGTCTGAATCCGTTCGAGCAAGCCTTGGATCTATTATTATCATCGAGTATCATTCAACTACCCAGACTATTTTGTTCATAATAACTTGTATAACATTCGCTTTTCGCATAACGATCTCGGAACAGCCGTAAGATATTTATTGACAAGCACGCCTCGTATCAGAACGAAAAATATTGAAAAATATCTTGCTCAACCTGACTGGAGTGAATACTGTCTTACTGTCGCGAAGCTTCGTATATGAAACAGCATGATTGCCAAAAAGCTGCGAAAATCCTGATCTGTGCTCAAAACGTGCTGTCACTGATCGAACGTACAGAACGAATTCGCGTAACGAATTATATTAATGAAACTCAAAACAAGTATTCTTCAAATATTTACGATGCCAACAGTACGTTTTGCACACAGACTTATGTAAGTTTAGAATTGTTATTATTATGCTACGTTTATATATACAGTATGTTCCGCATTAAAGATAATTTGACCATCGCAGTCATAATTGGCATCTTGTAACTTTCTATATATGTTTTTTTCTTTCGGTTGTACGCTTCGCGAGTAATTTAGTGGACCGACCGATCGTATTTTAATGAAGAAGAGATAGAGACAGACAAAGAAGTGCTTATCCTGCGTCCATTTCTACCAACAAAAATTAATTTTAATTAATTTCGAGTTAACTTACTTTTTATCTTCTCTAGTTCAAAAATTAGAAAAAGATAAAGAAATAAATAAAATCAAAAATTTACATTGCTAGAAATGGATCTTATTAAACTTTGAGTTATCTTTGAACGTAGCGTGGTGAATGTAATCCTTGTTTTGTTCACCTAATTTGTCTAAATTGTTTGATATTTCGCTGTGATAGCACAATATTCTAATATATTTGTTAAACGCTCCGAGAGATTTTAACGTGATAATAGTCGCATGTAAAGGCAAGCAAAAAATAGTCGATGCGACTTGGAATAAATTTGTGTATGAGTATCTAGATTAAACTACACAATATCCTAGAAAAGTAACTACATATTGCTTTCTCAGCGACTGTTTCATAGTTTTACCAAATCTTAAATGTTAGAAAGATTTTATAGAATAAATTCGAAAACACTTTTCACAAGCTTAGATATCATGTAAGCGTATCCACAAAAAATGATGTTAGGCTTTGTAGTGCCCGAGAAGCTAATGAGACATTTTTAACGCAAGTTCTGAATTGATTAAAAGCCTTAACCGATTATATTTTCTAAGTATATAAATATTACTTTTCTAACTAATGAAATAATTTGATAATACCTAGTAAAACCCATAAATAATGTCGGAATCAATCTGACGATTACTTGGAAATACAACCTTTACTTTGCCCTGCTACTTTGTCCTATATCACATAATAGAAAAATCTACGACACGCAATAGACAGAAACATAATATGATAATGCAGTAGCGTAATAGAAAGGAGATGTATCTTAATTATGTTACCGATTTATAATGATCTTGAACACTTTCTATTGTTGAATCTTTGCCACTTTGTCGAGCAAATTTCTCTGCGATAAGGCTATTGTTGCTGTAATTGTTGCAATAGTGGACATACTTCGACTAAGGGAGTTCCCAGAATCTCTTGGCATACTTGATTCATGTCCGGCTCCATCATGAGTGAAGAGATTTGATCCTCTGTTAGCATCTCCACGCTAATCGCAAGTTTGATAAGAAAAAGAAAAATTAACATATCATTGATTGATGAGAATATATCAGTACAAACTTACCTAGCTAAACTTTCGCTGTCCGACGTCTCCTCATCGGCATTGAGATAGCTCATTGTTTTTTCTAACGGACTTGGGACTTTCTTTCCTTTAACTTCCGACTTTTCAGATTTGTCAGACTTGTCAGACTTATCCTTGTCTCTCTCCGCTGTCTTTGGTTCGCTGGAACGTCGTTCCGTTAAGCTAGATATGTTTAGCATCATCATGCCGTGATTAAGTAATTCCTTAACGCGCTCTCCGGTACCGCCACTCCACAACATATCGAGAGATTGTCTTCTACTTGAATTTGCTGAAATAACAATGTTAATATATAAATCTACATCTCAATATACGAAATTTGTTGAAGATCCACACATATATCCACTTACTGGAACTACCACCACTAGTTTCACCACCGGCTGAACTTCTAGTTATCCAATTAGCTAAGCTACCATCGAGCTTGCTTCTATTTTTTACTGATGGACTTCTCGTAACTTCGGCTTTCTTCTCTTCGCTTAAGGTAACTTCATTTACTTTCGACATTGTGGGTAAAGATTTTTGCGTTACTAATCTCCTTCGACTAGTTTGTTCTTTCGGCGGTTCGCTGGTAGCATTAATTGTCTGAGCAAGTTCTGGACTTAGATCCATCGGTAACGGTTTGTAAGGAATTTGATCTTCTTCATCGGAATACACGTCATTATTGTAATAAACTTCATCCGGCGAATTGTTCAAGCTAATTTCCGTCCACTCCTCTCCGTTTTGAGAATTAGTAGAATTATTCTTGCGATCATTTACGGGCGTTTGAATTTTAACTCTCTTTTCAACCGGAGATATAATACCCGACAGATCCGTCAGGCCTGGTGCAGAAGAACTTGTATGATTTAGAGATACGATATGTTTCGAGTCGGTCGCAGCGATGCTTCGTGGACGGTCCCGTTTTATGTATTTACGAGGTTCGGTGGCTGAAAGATTCAGATTATTTAGGCCCAGGTACTCTAACGATGAATCTCTCTCGATCTAAAAAAAGGATTTATCGATTAATAAAATTAAGAAGTATGATTTGCCTGGAATGTACTTACTCTTGTAGGCATGGGACATGGCACGTTCGTACTCATCTTATCGGGAAGGCGTAAGTATTCGTCACTAGTGTAATCCGTGCTGTCTGGAGATCCAGTTACACTGGAATCCGTTGGAGTCGTCGAGTTAATTTGTGCAGCGGAATGATCCGGCGCGTCTTGTGTACTCTTATCGTATTCGTCCATACCGTCGTATCTTCTTGTCTGTTAGCAAAAGTATAATGAAAATTTTACACAATTCGAATTACGTTATATTCACACAAGTCTATATTTATACCCTGTGAATTTCGTCGCTGATCTTTTCTAAATTTCGTAATGCTTCCGCGTATGAAGCTTTTGCTTCGCCAACTGATCTCTCCAGTGCACTAACTTTCATCTTCTGCTCCTCTAGCATTTGATTAAAGTGCGCTTTCATCTCATAGTAAGGCCTATGTGATTATGTAATATTTCATTAAGTTGGAGCTATGTAAAAATGATATGTTTTTACAGCATTTCAATGTAATATAATATATTTATGCATAACAATTTGTTGCATGACAATTTGATTAGGAAGAAGCAACTTGATAAATTTTGTGTGCAGTACATCTGTGTGAAAGGATCATTAAAAAAAATTAGTAAATTATACATTCGAAATATTTTCAAAAATATATAGTAATTCATGCACAATCAGGATGATGATTAAAATAAATGAACAGAGAATTAGTTCAGAACTAGATGACACACAAAATAAATGTCGTGTATTTAAAAAAAATAAAAAAGAATATCTATCCTACTTACAACATGAGCAAGTTGTGCCTGTAGGCGATACTGTTTATCAGAAGCAAGCTGCGGCGTGCACCCATACTGCCAACATGAACATATAACCAAAACACATAAATACCATAAGTGGTCTATAGAAAATAACATAAACGTAATAATCATTCGAAAGTAATTCGATGATTATTTAAGTAGAGATAAAAAATGTCAATAGCAACAGGAAGAAACAATAAAAGGTTTGTATATAAAACATTTATCGTGTTCCGGTACATTAACTTGGTTGTATACAAGGTTTTTTAGCTCTTCAAAAAGTGATTCAAAAATATAAAAAAAATAACTATATGCGGTAATTTCATGCATTATAAAAAAACCATTGGGAAGGTAGGTATACTCGAGCTCCATTAATGAGAAGAGGGTGGCAGGTTCCTTACGTACCTAGATTTAGCAATAGTACGCTTCAATTCACGCTGCAACCTTTGAACTTCGTGTTCCGCTTTGTGATATAACACAGTTGTGTGTCTATGTTCAGCTTCAGAGAGAGCTCTCTCATGCTCTGACTCATTAACTCGCGACGTAGCATGATTCAACATTTCCTATAATATATTTCATTACTTGCATAATACCTGCATATATTTTTTTCTCAAGACTTGATATTGAAGAGTCTTACCTGCCAAGCGTGATCAAAACATCTTCCTTCGGTCCGTAGTCCTTCTTCAGCTAAGTAAACCATTTCTTTAGCTGCCGAATGTTGACTGTTGGCTCTCTCAAATCTAATCGCAGCTTTCTGCGTTTCTTGTAATGCCTGAAATAAAATGTTTATATATAATATATATATATATATATTTTTTTTTTTTAAATCTAACGATAGAAATGTAATAGTTATCTAGATATAAATATTCTTACCTCTTTTGCTTTAAACCTAGCGTCATAGTATGGTCTGGATTTTTCAATGCAAGCTCCAAGTTTCTTAGCCAAAGCGTCAATCTTAATTGTCGATTCACAGAGTAATTCTCTAAAGGTTGCTCTTGCTTCCTAAACATGATGAAATAAAATTCTCTATTAGATGGAAAGAATGGAATATAAGATGTATAAGATGTATAAGATGTATACAATTCCTACAATCTCAAATCAAGCCACAATCTCAAATTAAAAATTATTTCTTTGAAGCCATCATCATGGACTGTGCTGTTAAGATCATCGTTTCAAATCATTATCCATTTACATGTATCTTACACAGCAATCATCTCAATGAAATCTAATCGCAACCAGTTTCAAAACTTGTCGGCAATTTTGTTCCTCAAGCATCATTCATATATATATCGCAATGCAAAATCTAGACAGGCAAGGGACAATTACAAATGCAAGGTCATGCTTTAATAAAAATTAGTACTTACATCTAAATCAACTTCTAGTTTATTAATATCGTCCGTAGCTGTGTTTAATCTTTCAAGTTCAATCTGAAACAAAATATCATACATTTCATCAGAAAACATATTAAATTAGATATCATTAAAAAAGTATTTTTTATTTTATATGCTATAATACATAAAAGTTATACACAAATTTTAAACATACGCGAATTTTTTATTCGAACAAACAATCTACGTTTCATCCCCCTGAAGCCTCATTCATTGTGCTCCAATTTCTCGCGTCGAGACGGAGTTACCGGACAATGAGGGTAATTTAGCACGCGCTATCGTAGTAATAGGCCTTCCCAGCCGGGTGGGGGACAAAGGGGGATTAAGAATCGGGGACGTTTTATGACTCGTGCGTGTGTGTGTGCGCGCGCGTGTGTGTGCGTGTGTGTGTGTGCATGAGCGAGCGGAGGGAGAAGGAAAAGTAGAAAACGTTCACGAAGGAAACACACTGAGACTCGCGATGAAATTCGCCGTTGAAGCACATTCTACGACACATTTTACGACGCGATTCTTTTCGTGTGGTTTAATCGTGGCGAAGCTTCTGCTCGCCGACGACGAGAATCAAGAGTATCGATATCGCAAAGTCGCGGGGGCTCCCCCCCTCGCGGTTGCTCCGTCTGGGCGACGCACACGCGGACGGCGGCGACACTCACCTGCACTCGCGGGTCCACTGCATCGTCGACGCGATCAGAATCATCGGCACTCTCCTTCTGCACACGTCCGCTCATAATTAAATCTAGAGGGTGGATTTTATTTACAGCTCTCCCATGCCACCTGTGTGTATCGTCTGCTAGACAACATCAGGTGGCCATGTTGGACGTCAAAACGTATCGCTGCGGCGAGCAGGGCCGTCTCCACACTACGTGCTCGAACGGGGAAGCATGCGCCTTCCTCCTCGCAGGAGAGCTCTGGAGAGCTCCCACGGACCTGGAAATGTCATCTGAGGTTGCGCGATAACGATTCGAGACCGGACATGCAAATTCATTGCATCGGATCGAAGATTCGAATCATTGAATTTATGATTATATATATATATATAGTATAAGGTTTTTCTATTATTTATATATCTATTAATACTCTTAATATAAAATTCGAATATAATAGTTTATTAAGGCCCGATTGTACCAATGTTACTTTGATTTTAAGCGAGGCTTAAAACTCTTTCCTTCTCTGGTCTCTGTCTCTCTTTGACTTTAAAATAAGACAGATAGAGTTTTAAGTCTCACTTAAAGTTAAAGTGACATTAATGCAACTGGGCCTAAATTTTACAAAGTTATAAAAGTTGAGACAAAAGTTAATAATAAATAAAAGGAGCATACTTTATATTATTATATTATTACATTATTATATATATTGTATGTGTATAGGAAAAAGACTTGTTTAACAGATAATTTGTACAAAGATCTTGTATTTAAATTTTATGCTTCTTCCATTTATTATTAATTAAGTATTTTAATAAACCTTATAGTAATATTTAAAGCTTTATTGCAGATATTATTAACAAGTACACTTTTTTATATACTAATACGTGTATAATTGTATTTTTGTATTTCTTGCTTTAAGCATTTTCGAAATTTTAAAGACGCGGCTAATCGTAGAAATTATTTTATTGCTTATTCAACGAATAATAACTCTTAATTATTAAATATTCAATCTAATATTTCTAAATATTCCTTTTTAATTTAAATATTCTGTCCAGATTTCTCGCGCGCATTTGACTTTTCCCGCCGACCGCCATGGCGCCGTGGCCGGCCAACATGGCGTTCGGGACAATTCAAGATGGCGGACGCGAGGAGTATTCCGGCAGGTGGCATGGCGTGCGCTGATCCCGCCTGGCTCTCAAACGTATATTTCCCTGTTCGCACTTTGCGACGTTTCGCAGTTCGCATTCTTCGCACTGGTGAGTCGCGTGCCCGTTCGAGCGGGTGGATTATAGTTCTCCGTGGAAAGCGGCAACGTGCCCGACCAAAGAACGTCGGTCGCTGAGCAACACAACGATCCGTTGCGGCCGGTAAGTGAAAACATACATTGCGCACCGCGGTGTCGCGCGCTTTCGGGGGTCTCTCTCTCTCTCTCGCTCTCTCCGAAAGAAAAAAGAATCCTTTGAATTTTCTTCGAGTGCCCGCGTGTCCACCTGAAGAAGGTGGAAAATGCCTTCCGAGCGGAGCGCGCGACTCCGACTTTCTATTTCGGTATTTTTATACGACGAGAGACAAGCGCGCGGTTAACTTAACGGTGGAGAGAACGCGCGCGCAAAGGTCGAACCGTCCTCCTTCGTCGTCGGTTTCCGAGGAAGGGTAACGCGCAAGGTGCGTGTCCTCGCGATCCGGTCCGGTTGCCTTCTCCCGTCCGTTCTCGGTTTACCGCCGGCTCGTCCCGCGTTTGATCTTTGATCAAAGACCGGCTGCGATCTTGAGGTCGATTCTGTATCTTTCTGTATTTTCACAAGGTGAAAATTACAAAGCGAGTAAATTTCCTAGGTGATCAATGAAATAATCAGTATTCTAGTAAATTCGCTCACTTTTATAATTTTCATCTCATTTCAAAAGATACAGAATCGATCCCCTTGATTCTTATCACGGGATATCTCGTGGTTGCGCCGTGCACGACATCGAAACAAAGTTTTCGCAGTTCCGGGGAACGAAAGTGACGCACCAGGTATATAAAGATCCTATAAACCCGTAAAAGATCCTGTAAACAGAGTCTGGCTGCAGTAATTTTGTCATAACAAGAGTAACGCATGTTCTACAATGAATCGTTACTTGAACTTTAATTCTTAACCGTAAGAAATTCTTCACAGAATGTGAGAATAATAATCGATTATGATCAATTTTTTACGGTTTAAAATAATGGCTTATGTAAAAAAATCCATAATGAAAAGAAGGATGTACATTGTCTCTTATGTCTATATGACATATACTGTCTCTTTATATATCTCTTTTAGCTATCTCATTCTAACTTATACTATTTTATTTATAAATATGTTAAACAAGGAAAACAGTCTCTCTCTCTCTCTCTCTCTCTCTCTCTCTCTCTCTCTCTCTCTCTCTCTTCAAAATAACAAACACAAAATTAATCTGAGCTAATGAGAGTCAGCGCGAACGGAGGTGTACAATAAAATTTTAACAAATAAATTTGTTATTCCATTCGATGCGTTTTTTTTATTTAAAATCTTGATAAATCTTGAACGTTTCTCTTTGGAATCTTCATCAGCAATATTCATAATTTATATAAGACTCGTGGTCAAAGTAGAGTCACTCACAGATTGTCAAAACTGTAGTGTAATCTACACGATCGCCAAAATCATGATCTCATCATGAAACTTTGGATGATATTAATATTCACAATTAGTCACTTTTTAATATATATTACGTAGATTTAATTGAACTCCGTCTAAACTATCCGGAGTGACAAGAATAGATCGCCTATCTTATTTATTCCGAGCTTGTCGTCTGAGCTTCGTGGTCAGATTTTGTTATAGAATTTCTAAAGCTACTTTCCTTTTAAGGAATATAGTCGATATAAACATAATTCTATCTTTTTCTTGATACTTAATGAATGACAAAATATGTAAAACAATATGTAAAACGAACGTCATTTGTGTCAACTGTGTCTCCTAAAAAAAAAACCGCTTAGTTTACTATATCATCCTTTTTAGCTGAATTTCTTGTACATTTATCTTCTTTCCTTTTTTTTCATGCTGGAAACCCTATACTTTACCCTATACTTTATACCGTAACTGCTAGTCGACACAAACGTTCTTTCCTTTTTGACATTCAATGAATAACAAAGATAAAACGAATTTGCGTTGATTGTATCTCTCAAAGAAGGAAAACAGCCTGTGTCTTGTATCGGAAAGTACCTGTAATTTTGATAGGCAATCGATCTCCGGCAGGAAGGTGGCAACCGTGATCGAAATCCGGAATTGTGAACCTGGCTCCGAATCTGTTTACCTACTCCTGTGTTTATCTGCGCGTGTTCTCGAGTCATGTTTTTGTTTCGCACGCTCACGGAAATTCCACGGGAAAGGATGGGATCGAAAATACATTATCGGTATTTGACGGAATTGAACGAAGGGCCTCTGTGTAAGTGCGCGACGTAATCGTAAAGCGATAATGTAAGCGGCCTCGCGCGATCGGGTTGAATTTCTGATGTTGTGCACGACGAACTGATCGAAGGACGTCCGTGGAAACATTCGCACGCGAGTGCCTTCAAATGTCAGAAGCACTTTTACCATAGAGGATACACCATTTTCGTGCTTCTACTCGTCTCTTTTTAATCGAGCAGCTGACAAGAGAGAATTTAACCGAATTTAACGGATCCCATCAAGCGATCGATGAGTAAACATATGTGTTTTGACTATCTGAAGAATAGTCGTCTCGTCAAACATCTGATTGTCATTTATTGTATTATTAATCTTTAGTACGTGATTTTTCGGTCTTTTATTAGACACGATGGGTCCTTCATGTTCAAATTAATTTTCGTCACTTTAACAGATATATAAACATTATTCTTACATATATTTTAACATTTTTAGAAAATATATTTGTAAGGTGATGCATTTAAAAAAATATAAATTCTATATAAATATTATAATTAATTATTTGATGCTTTTAATTTTTTCAAGAAAAGAAATGTGCATGAATAATCCAATCGTGTATATTAAGGGTTATTTATCATTTATTATTATATGCACAATGCCATTCCTTGAATGAATTGAAAAGGTTAACGACGCGCAGATAACGTTTCGTATCGTACAAACGCCCACTCTTTGTCGTGTTCGTGACTCGTCTCTGAAATCGTTTTAAAGCACAGTGAATAATATGAGGAAAATAACCAATGCTACGATTATTTTATTCGTAATCGATTTAGAATTAGCTTATCTTTATTTAACTTGCAATCGCAAATATTGACTGCATTTAGCAGAATGTTTACTTTGCTTATTTTATTTACTTTTCAAATCTTTATCTTGTTTATTTTTCGACTATTGACGTTTTTTCGCACAGATTGGATTATACTTGTAGATTTGGAGGAATAATCATAGGCATAGCTAGGACTTTATTTAAGAGAAGCCAAATTTGAGTTTAGACCTTTGAATCCGAGAAGAAGAAGGGTAATTGAGTGGTGTGAACTATTGAATTTTTTTGTTTTATACTGTTATTTTTAAGTAATTACTAATAAATCACAAAATCACACATATTTAATTTACTAATTTTATTTTACTCTACTAAGTTTATTTTTCTCTTAAAATTGTAAACTGGTTCTGGAACTGGAAAAACTTAAACATTAATCATTTTGGATTCTCAGAAATCTTTCTATAAAACTTTTTTACTTCCAATTCTTTCTTCTTTCTTTGTCTTCAAAATTAATTTCTTGTGAATACTCATTAAACAAAATCCGTTTAATCCTGTTTTAATTATTTTTGTTCTTTGAGTTTAGGAGAGGAGGACCCTTCTAATTTAGAGGAGTAATCTTTCTTAGTGAAAAAAATTCCCAACAGTTGCAAAATGAAAACATTCTGCCAAACGTGGCCATTAATAATCGAGTGATAAATTAAAAAATTCAAGATTCGAATATATTACAAAATATATATTTATAATAGAAATTCCAGTTTCGTTGAAATTCTCATAAAACAATGGAGTTTTGTTCGCGGAACGATGAGAAAAGTCCCTCCCCGCGCACGAATGAACATCGAGAGACGACAATAACGGAATTCCTCGAAATACGGTATTTGTGTGTCGCGCGCGTTAATCGAGCGCCAATGATCGTCATGCGAGCCATCTTCTGCCGAAATGATTGATTAATCGCCACTTTCAATTAGACGAGAATTAGTCCGTCACCTCTAGTGCGTGGAAATGAGTAATACTCGGCGTTTGCTCCTCGTACTTATGACTTGGCGACCGCTCGTTCACGTGCGTGCGTGTGCGTGTGCGTGTGCGTGTGCGTGTGCGTGTGCGTGTGCGTGTGCGACGTGTACATGCCGGCAGGCTGACAAAAGCGACCGGTTTAATGGCTAAGCGAATCGACTTTTAAAGAGCCACCCGTTGCACTGCACCGCACGACGGAAGACACATTGATACGAGCGAGGAGCAGCCGGTGCGTGCGTTGCTCGCAGGTAGGTAGACACTAGTCAGGCAAGGTATTCGAACCTGCCATTCCGACAGAACTTGATGGCGTCACGTCACGGCAAATGTCCGCCGCGAGTCATTCTGCGCCGTTCTCTCACCGCCGTCGTTACGTGTCCTTATCACTTTTCTCAAATAAATTTACGTGAACATCAAACACGTGCTCGCGCGTACCAGTTCGGCACGACGTTAAACGAGCGAGTTCACGGGATAAAAGCGAGAGACGAAGTTTCCTTCAAGAAACGCCAGAATATGATATATCTTGAATCTACAACGTAGGAAAGTTAGATTTACTTATTTATTTAAATATTTTTTTAGAATAACTTGAAAGCATTTATATAACGTAATTTAC